CATTCATGTGGAATTTAATAAATAAAGAAGCAAAGGGAAAAAGAGAGAGAGGCAAACCAAGAAACAAAGTCTTAAATATAGAGAAATAAACTGATGGTTACTAGAGGGGAGGGGGATGGGAGGATGGATGAAATAGGTGATGGGGATTAAGGAGTACACTTGTGGTGAGCACCTGATATTTTAAGGAACTGCTGAATCACTATATTGTACATCTGAAACTAATATTACACTCTATGTTAACTATGCTGGAATTAAAGTAAAAACTTAGGGCAGCCCGGGTGGCTCAAGCGGTTTAGTGCCGCCTTTGGCCCAGGGCCTGATCCTGGAGACCCAGGATCGAGTCCCATGTCAGGCTCCTTGCATGGCGCCTGCTTCTCCCTCTGCCTGTGTCTCTGCTTCTCTCTCTCCTCTCTGTGTATTCTCAGAAATAAATAAATAAAATCTTAAAAAAAAAAATTTTAAATTTTAAAAAATAAAATAAGGGATCCCTGGGTGGCGCAGCGGTTTGGCGCCTGCCTTTGGCCCAGGGCGCGATCCTGGAGACCCGGGATCGAATCCCACGTCAGGCTCCCGGTGCATGGAGCCTGCTTCTCCCTCTGCCTATGTCTCTGCCTCTCTCTCTCGCTGTGTGCCTATCATAAATAAATAAAAAAAAATAAAAAATAAAAAATAAAATAAAAACTCAAAAATACTTACAAAAAAAATAAAAGATCTGTGTCCTTACTCTTGGAAACCATTTACACAAAGTATTATGGGTATCTATCATATTATATAGATAAAGCATTCTGCAGCAGTTGAGGTTCAATGAGGGCCTTTTGGTCCTGCTGTTAAATGAAGTTAATAGACTTAGGAATTTTTTTTTACAGTATCTTTAGCTGAAATGATGTTCATGTTTTTCTTTTTTCCATTTTAAAATCCAAACATAAAACATTTTTTTCCTGCTCAGAAGAAAAATCACTGGGAGAGGAATGATACAGTGATCCAAACTGATCAGATGGAACAATAAAATGATGATTTTTAAACATAACTCAGTTTTTCACTGCATGGTCTGGAGTTAGACAATAAAACCGGGTTATGTCATTTGTTGTAGCTATTCTGTTGCCTGAAAGAAAGGCAGACTATTTAAAATGTTTAAATGTTTTCATGTTGCATTTGGAAAAGATCCCATGGTTTGAATTTTGGTCAGATGCACTCAATCTCATGCAACAGCCTTCCACAGACCTTAAGAAATAGTTTATTGTAACTCAGAGTAGAAAGGAACATACAGATTAAAGAACACACCAAATTGTTTAAATTATATCAGTAACCTATTTGTTTTTGATAAACATTTTAATGACGTAAACCTAGGTCACTACTATGGACTGAATGCTTGATTCCCCTCCAAATCCACATGTTGAGCCTGAATCCCCATATAGTGGTATTAGGAGGTGGGGTCTTTGGAACACAATTAGGTCTTGAGGGTGGATAGCTCATGATGGGATTAGGGCCCTTACAGGAAGAGATAGGAGGGAGATGGTCTCTCTCTCCACCACATGAAGCAATGAGAAGGCAGCCATCTAACTCACTGGACCAGGAAGAGAGCTTTCACCAGACACTTGATCTTGGACCTCCTGGCCTCCAGAACTCTAAGAAACAAATGGCATTTAAATCACCCAGTCTATGGTATTTTGTTATTATTTTGTGTTAGCCCATGCTAAACAATCACCTTAGGTAAATTTACCACTCCACTGGATTTAAAAAAAAAAAAAAACTTTCTAAAAATTATTTGAAGATGCCATTGAAGCAAGGAATGGGTGAATAGAAACATTTAGTTGCTCAACATCCACTATCTCCTTAACTTAATTTCTGTAATTCTCACCATTACTATCATGTTTCTCTCTCCCTTTGGAGCCAGAAACATCAGACTCATTCGGAGCCTGGGCTGGGACATCTGCTACAGCAGTGATGGCCTCCAGATGCCTTGGCTCTGAGGCTTGTAGCCTCTGTTTTTCTCTTTCACATAAGGTCTGCATCTTGCCTCATCTATCTAGACCTCGGGCACCCAATTACTTGCTAACACTAATCTGTTAGCGAACACGTCTCCTTGGAACTGCAAGCTCCAAGGAAAGCATGCTCTTCTCTCTATTTATTTCTCCTGCATGACCTCCATTCTCTTTGCCTATCACTCACACAAAACATTCCCCATGTTTTAAAAAACAACAAAATTCCTCCGACTTTCTTTTCTAACACCTTGAAGGCAAAATTTGCTCTCTGCTACACCCCCAATTTCTTCTGACAGATTTGACCACCTTCCTCCACTCCTTCTTTTGTTACTATGTTCTTCTCTGACTCCTCTTCTTTTTCCCCCCCAGGGTCAGCACACCTCACAACTGCAGCGGGCACCATTCCCAGCACCATGGGGAGTTGAGCAGTGCACAGACTTCACACCCACTGCCCACAGTCCTGGCTCTTGCTTATAAATGTGTTCCCTTGACTATGGGGCTTTCCAGAGTTCTAGCCTATGCAGACTTTTCTCATTCTACAAGCGCCTCCTGGGAAATCACATTTCTTCCCTCCAGCTGAATTAATGCACACTCTTATCCCAATGATCTCTCAGAACTGCATCCCTCTCCACCAGGATGCCCAAGTAAAACTCAACAAATTTTCTCTATTTTTCAGATTTACCCTTTGTCACTTATTTTCACTATATACATTATCTATCAAGTTGACAAACCAGGACATTCACTATCCTTTCTTACTCCATAAATGCAAAAAACAGATTGGTCTTTATTGCATCAGACCTGTACTGTTATTCAACTTTTGATATATGCACTCTCTAACTAGAACAAGGACTTCAACTTTGTGGCCTCGTATTATAATTATTCCCGCAAAAACTGTATTGTGCAATGCTTCTCTTCATCTCACTTATGAATCTACAGTAGGGATTGAAATGTGTTGTGTATAAAACACTATTCTCTTTCACTAATTTAATCTGCATACATCATCTAAGTACAAGCTGTTGTAGGAAATCCGAGGCAAGACCCCTTGGATCCTGGCATCAATAGGCAATTGCTCATCTCTATTTTTTGGGTGAGAATCCTGAGACTTCAGAGATGGGGATGCTAATACTTGGTGGAGGCCAACTTCTGAAATCTGGAAAAGCAAACCTACTACTCCTTTATCCTTGCAATCTGGTTTCCATTCCTTTTCTACTGAAGGTGCTTCTGCTAAGTCATCTGCACCATCCAACTCTCAGGCTTTCAGTTTCCAAGCCCGACTCTGTCAAACCTGGGTCACGCCTCCTGGGACATATCCTGCTGCCTTTCCAATGTTGGCTAGCTCACTTTATCCCCTTCAGTGGTGTGTTCCTGTCCCACACCTCCACCCTGCACCCTCCCTGGCACTTTAGGGGAGTGAGTACTCAACATCACAGGTCTACATTTCCAGCTCCTCATAACTACAGCTGGGCTTCAACTATTTGTCCCATGAGAGACCCTCAAATTAACATGTCCAGATAAGACTTGTTTATCCCCTGAACTAATTCTCCCGTAGGTTGGTTTGATTGATGAATGACTCCCAGATATCAGGGATGGGGCATACCCTGGACACAACGCCAACAGCTGGAAGCTTTTATCACTTCACAGCCTTGGGCCTGCCCTCTCATCACTGTTCCTCCACCCAAGATCCTCAAGTGGGCTCCATGAACACTCACCTTCTAGAACAACCTCTTCTAGCTCCTCTCTGAGGACCAAGCTGTCCTGAATCGTTAGGGTGGTGAGACTACACCATGTTAGACCCCCAAGATTGGAGGCATTTGCTGAAATAGTGTACCCTGACTTATTAAGCAGGCAGTGAAATAGGAAATGCATTTCAACTATTCCATTTTCTCTCCAACAGGTCAACAGTTGGGGTAGGTCTGAATTTAGATATAGTTCGCCTGAGTCCCTCCTCCTTACCTTCAACCATGCCAAATGGAGGAAGTGTCTAGGGAGTCCAGGCCTGCTCACTACGGTTAAGTGATAACTCAAAGCCAGCAAGTTATGTCAGTTACAAAAAAGTTATGAAAAATTCTGTTTCAAAGGCCAAAGTAATCCCTGAGAGTTATTTAAAAAAAAAAAAAAAAAAAAAAAACCTGGTCGTCTGATTGGATGGGAAACTGGAAAAAGCTGAAGGAATCCTATTTTCTTCTTGAACGAGATGACATTTTTATCAGCTAGATAAATGTTTTCATGACGGAACTTGTTCTTTTGCCATTTGCCACAAACAGCCTCCCTCTCAAGGTTGGTATATTTGGAGGGCGAGGCGAGCTTTGTACACAAAGGAAATGCCTTAATTAAATAGTTAATGCTTCACATTGCCCATACTCTCCAATCTAAAACTTTTGGGGAAATTCTCAAATCGCTTTTTATATTTTTCTAGTGGAATCGAGATGGTTTTTAGAGTTTGTTTAATCACAGTCCCTGAGTTCAACCGAAGCTCGATCTCTCACTCCTGGGAATTCTAAGAATCACATTTCATAACCAGCAATTGAGATTCTGGAGATACCACCTAGTGACCTGGTGCTGAAGTAAAGTCAACAAAAGCTACATGGGGCTTCTGATTATTGAACAGGCTCCCTAAAGTTCATTACTAGAAATTTTCTGTTTGCTAATTCCAATTCTGAAAGATTTGCTTTACTGAAGTACTCAGTGTAAGAAGTGAGAGTTTCTGAATGGTAGTGGACTATTTGGTAAACGATATTTGCTTTGAATGCCTAATGATAGCTGTCTTTTTTTTTTAATATTTTGTTTAAATTCAACTTGCCAACATATAGTATAACCCAATGATACCTTTATAGATGGAAGTAAATTAAAATTGGAGGGAGTAGTTCTGCACTTTTCTAGATTTGAAACACCAACCATAATCAATCATTTAGTATAGTGAAGTTTCCTTACCTACAGTTGAGAAAAATATATTAAGGTGAAAATTTTAAAAACATGGAAAGACAAACTCAATAAAGTTATACCACTACTAATTAACATTTACAAAGCACTTTGGCTATGTTTATTTACATTGTTTCCACTGTTACAATGACAACACATACATGTTTAAGTGTGGTTTAACAAAAATTCTTGATGCTGCTGTTAGGGAGAAATCAGGCCAAGCCTTAGCTTCCAAAGGCTGATGGGCTTTTTCTTTTCCAGAATTCTTATCTTAATGCATTAGTAGTGTGCCTTCATGATATTGCTTACTTGTAAATATAATCCTATGTCAAGGATTTGGAGACCAAAAGAAGTAGAGCACCAGTTTTTGTAAACTTTACACATATTTCTTGGCCTTTATACTATTTCTCTAATAGAGTTCACAAATGGAAGGTCCTGACATAAAAGTGCCCTACAAATATGTGTGGTTGGGCCTGTGTGGTGTTGCCTTTCACTTAAAAATTTTTTTTAATTATCCTCTAAGATTTAAAAGTTAGGGAATTTCATTTTCGACTTCCATATCTTCTTGAAAAATGCAGCAAGCTCACTAACAATAGACCCAAATTCCCACAGGGCAGCAATGACCTCTGGCTGGCTGGCCCTTGCTGCTGGCTCACCTCTCACCCCTCCTGACCTCCACAGATCCAAGCCAAAGTTGGTTGCAGTCCATCACATGACTCACGCAGTAGTTTGTCTCTCATCTTCCCACCTCCCTCACATGGCTTGACCAGGCAGCTTCCTGGAGGTATCTGAATTTGCAGCTCCTATCCTTAATTGTAAACATAATAATAGTGAACCCTTCCATAGTACTTAGTGGGCCAGACACTGTCCTATGTCTTTAACATGCATCAGCTTATTTAGTCTTCAGAATAACCCGAGACAGTGGACACTATCAGCATCCCCATTTTAGGGACTAGGAAATTGAGACATCAAGGAGTCTAGAACTCACCCATGGCAACACACATTTCATCTGCAGGGGTATCTGGCTCATGAGCAGGCCCAGTCTGGAACCTGCAGACCCAACCATTAGAATTTATTTCCAGGGCGGCCCCGGTGGCTCAGGGGTTTAGCGCCGCCTTTAGCCCGGGGCATGATCCTGGAGACCTGGGATGAGTCCCAGGTCAGGCTCCCTGCATGGAACCTGCTTCTCCCTCTGCCTCTCTCTCTCTCTCTCTCTCTCTCTCTCTCTCTCAGTCTCTCATGAATAAATAAATAAAATCTTTAAAAAAAAAAAAGAATTTATTTCCATATGTATTGGAAGGCTCTTCACAAGTACATCAACAGTTTTAAATTCTGTCCATTGCATCTAGAAGACAGTGTCTAGTGAGTGCTAATTTCTTCTCTGAAACACCTAGGAATCAAAATTTTGGGTCCAGATCTGACCTAAGTAGCCTTTTAAGTCTATGGCACTTGATGAGACAAACTGCCCCTTCTCTAAAGCTTTTTGGCTGTCAGGAACTGCTATCACAAAATGACACAGGGACGGTTACACGTATAAAGGCCCCTCTGGAGCTGTGCTGATTGCCTGCACAATGCAGTGCTCCCAGGTTCAAGAATCTGTCTGACTACTTTTCAGAGTAAGACTTATTTTGGCATTTGCAAGCGTATAAAATAAGCAAAAATGCTTAATGAAAATTACCATAAAGATGTATGTCAAATACGTATGTCTTACTCTGAACAACTACCAACCACTCATTTCAACTTTTCATTACCAAGCACAATTCCTCATTTCATGATCATGATGAAAAAAATATACACTGCCGATGTTATCTCGTATCTCAAAATTCCAAGAATCTCAGGCTATTTCCCTCTGCTTAAGATTGAACTTGGAGCAGTGAAAGAAGTTCTCTCTTCCATGGACATCACATACCCCACAAAAACTTTACCATGGAGTGGGGAGCCTTTCAAATCAGCATGTCCTTTCAGCATTTTTCCTTCTCTTTCGATGTAAGGCTTGAAAATTATGATAAGAGGAGATCTGCATTTCTCACGTATTATTTAAGTCAATCCAGATGTCAGCTCGATGATACAGGTTTATTACGCCCATATTAAGACAGGGGAGTGGTATTTGAATCCAGGTCCATCTGATACCTGTATTCTGATGCACTCCACCGTCTCAGTCTCCAGCCCGTGATCGGCCCTAAATGCTGGTTAGGTCACTGCTGCAGAAGGCCCTGCCGAGCTCTGGAGGGTCTGCTCTGGAGGGGCCTTCGTCCAGCGCCGCTCACCTGATGCCCGCGCAGGACAAAGTCCATCACGAACAGAACAAATGCAACCTGCCAGCCCGAACTAACTCGGAGTATAGCACATTGCAGAGCTGTATTGGTTCTGTCTTGTTTTTTAGCCGGGGCAGACACATGCGGGCCGACTTAGGGGCCAGATGTTGGAGGAGACAGCGAAGGAAGGGAACCGGCGGAGAACCTACGCGGTAAAATTCTAGTTCTGGAAGGCGCTGGAAGAGGTAAGTGCACGGGGGCGGGCCTATTTATTTCCACTCATCACGGCTCACATTTGCTTGTCCAAGAAGAGCGCGGGCCGTGGGGCTGTCCGGGGAGCGCAAACCGCCCGCGGATTCACGGCCGGGACGCGCGGGGGCTCCGGGACGGACGGGCGCGCGCTCGGCGGGGGGGGCGGCGGGGAGGGGCCCGAGCGGACTTACAGCACCGCGGTCCGCGGCGGCACCGGAGGAACGCGGTCCAGCATCCAGTGCGCGCAGCGCGCGGTGCTCGGCAGGCACAGGCAGCGGCTCGGGCAGGGGCGCAGCGGCAGGCACCTCCCGGCCAGGACGAGGCAAGCGGCCCAGCCGACGAGCCTGGACGCCATAGGGCTCCACCTGCTGCGGGCAGCGAAGAAGCCGGGGCGGCGGCGGCGGCGGCGGCGGCGGCGGCCAGGGCGTGCGGAGCCCGAGCCCGGCCCACGACTCCCGGCGCGGCTCCGGGAAGCGGCCCTGGCCAACGGGCGGCGGAGGGGCGGGGGCGGGGGCGGGGCGGCGGGGGAGGGGGCGGCCGCGGGGGCGGGGGAGGGGCGGCGGGGGAGGGGGCGGCCGCGGGGGCGGGGGCGGGGCGGCGGGGGAGGGGGCGGCCGCGGGGGCGGGGGCGGGGCGGCGGGGGAGGGGGCGGCCGCGGGGGCGCGCGGCCGGAGGGCACGGCCCGAAGACAGACTTCAGTAAGTACCCGAGTCTTCCGGCCACCCTGGACAGGTATTCAGGGAAGCCTTTCTAGTATAAAGACTAAAATTTTTCAGACATCTCTTACCCCTAAACTAGCACTTTAAAAAATGGAAAAGCAGTAGAAAAACAACTCACAGCTTGGGATGGCCCAACCTTGGTAACAGTCCCAGATGACCATGACTGCAGACCTAGTTTTGCCAAACTTTATCAACCTTATGAGGAAAAAGAAATTCTTTTGCCTTTCCAGTACTTTTTCAATCCCTTAACATTCTACTGTGGGTGAATACTGCCCTCTTTTGGCAAGACGTTCAAACTTAAATATGTGGGGTTTTACTATTTTGTTAAAATCCAGAGATCAGAAGAAAAAATAACCTCCATGAAAAAGAATGATTTTAAAATAAACCAGGTATGCTTGACATTGTCCGTGCTTATTTTATTTCCTAAGTATTGCAATGAACTAAAAAAGGTAATTTCTTCTTTTCGATCCCATGCCTTACAATTACCATGCTTTTGCCTTGTGCATACAAGTTTGTGCACTGTTTTCAGTTCAAAACACAATTATTAGCTTGTATTCATAGAGCATTTTTCCAGGATAGACTATGCACTCTCTACTTTAGAAAAACCCTAAGCTGCCATTAAATGAAAAAAAATCTGATTACCTCTTGGGATACAGGGCTAAGAGCTGCAAGCAAGGCAGGGGGAACCCCATGAATGGCACGGCCACTGCAGATGCGAGATTCTTCTCTGGAGTGCCTCAGGACAACTCTCCCACAGAAAAGTATTATTAAATATGTTAAATACTATGAATATTTTTTTAAATGCATCAATATGTTAAGTTAAAGATATACACAAGAGCCCAAAAATGAAAGGAAAATGAGAAGTTATTGGCAAGATAACTAAACACCAAAGCCTGGCTCACCTTGATAGTATTTGCTCAACCAAGTAAAAGAAACAGATCTGGGGATAGCAGGCTTACAGAAAGGAGAAGAAAAAGCCTTTTTCCTAAGTGGAGGGTCTTAACTGGAAAACCTCTATTTTCATCAAGTTAAGGATGAATTAGAAATAATCCACATTATCCCCTGCCACCATCCACCCAGAGAACACGAGAAAAACTGCCTGTTTCAAACTTTCTATGGGGAGAAAGGGATTAAAAAAAAAAAAAAAAACACCTCCCTGGAGATGTAGTATTTCCAAATTAGCTTTTAAAATAAAATGTAATATGAATAATAGTGAAAGGGAATATAAGGGAAGAGAAGAAATGTGTGGGAAATATCAGAAAGGGACACAGAACATAAAGACTTCTAACTCTGGGAAATGAACTAGGGGTGGTGGAGGGGGAGGAGTGCGGGGGGGTGGGGGTGAATGGGTGACGGACACTGAGGGGGGCACTTGATGGGATGAGCACTGGGTGTTATTCTGTATGTTGGTAAATTGAACACCAATAAAAATTAATTTATTAAAAAAATTAAAAAAAAAATTTAAAAAGATACACTAGGTGACCACCAACCCCAAAACATGCTATAGGAGTATCAAACCAAATGGACTTTAAAGTGAAAAATATTAAAGAGGGTTCCCACATAATGTTAAAGGCCCAAACAGACGTAGCAAACCAAAAGCGTAGCATCATTGCGTCAAAATATACAAAGAAAAAATCCAAACAACTACAATGAACTGACATTCTGCCATCCAAGTGAGAGGTTTTGCTAAAAAACACAAGAGCATACAAAAAAAGTTTAGACTGTATTAGATTTGAATACAATCAAAAATTTGAGGGATCCCTGGGTGGCGCAGCGGTTTAGCACCTGCCTTTGGCCCAGGGCGCGATCCTGGAGACCCGGAATCAAATCCCACGTCGGGCTCCCGGTGCATGGAGCCTGCTTCTCCCTCTGCCTATGTCTCTGCCTCTCTCTCTCTCTCTCTCTCTGTGACTATCATAAATAAATAAAAAAAAAATTTAAAAAAATTTGATTCAAAAGACATTTACAGAATACTATACCGAACAACAAAATATATATTCTTTCAAAGGACACCAAGGCATTTATTAAAAATGACTATATATGGGGATCCCTGGGTGGCGCAGCGGTTTGGCGCCTGCCTTTGACCCAGGGAGCGACCCTGGAGACCCGGGATCGAATCCCATGTCGGGCTCCCGGTGCATGGAGCCTGCTTCTCCCTCTGCCTGTGTCTCTGCCTCTCTCTCTCTCTCTGTGACTATCATAAATAAATAAAAATTAAAAATATATATATTAAAAAAATGACTATATATGGGCAATAAAACGAGAAACAAGGTTGCTCTTGTTCATTGCTTCTATTCAACACTGTACTGGAGGTCCCAACCAGCATATCTGGCAAAATTAAAAAAAAAAAAAAAAAAACACCCAAAGGGGAAAAAAAAAAACTGTCTTTATAAAGATGATTAATCACAAGATGGTATGATTTAAGTAATGTACAAAAATCAAGAATGGAGCAAAATATAATTTTAACAAACAATGCAATAGCATTGAAAAATACAAAATATTTACACATAAATCAAGACATCTGAAACAAAATTAGGTACCTTTAGTAAGACATTTAATAAGATATAAATAAAAGGAGAGAAGTACCCTATTCATGGATTGGAGGATTCCATATCATAAACATGTTAATTCTCACACAAATTGATTTATAAATTCAGTGATCCCAAAATGATTGTGTAAAAGTAATCTGAGAAGTGGATTGTAATGTCTATCAAAGTCAAATGATTCAAGAATAGCCAAGAAATACCTTAAGTTTAAATTAAAGGAGCTTATCTCACTACAGCAAGAATTACTGTAAATCTATTTAAGACTGTAGTTTTAGCACAGGGATCCATAAATTGACTAACTAAATAGAAAAGAAAATCTAGACACAAAGCACAAACATACAAAAATGTATGACAACACTGTAGATCAGAAGAGGAAAATGGGACTTTTCAAAAAAGTTGTTGATCAAAAAAGTAAGAAAAAAAGAAAGTATTGTTTCTCACTTTAGACAAAGATCAACAGTATGTGTAAGACTTAAATGTGAAAGACAAAAATCACAGAACTTTTAAAGAAAATATACGCTAATATTTTCATGATTCTGGATTAAGATTGTGTGAAGATGAATGTGACACAATTAAAATCGAAAATTCTAATTCATGAAAGATGCCACAAACAGAATGAGAACAGAAACCACAAGTTAATGAAAGATATCTGTAGTACATGTAACTGACAATGGGTTAATAGCCAGACTACATAAGGAACCATATAAGCCAATTTCTTTAAAAGAAACTACCCAATAAAACATTTCCAAGACTTGAATGTAAACTCTACAGAAAGGAGATGTAAACCAAGAAACACTCAAAAAGGTACAAAACCTCCTTAATAAGTAACAAAGCCTCTATAACACTTCACACTCGAAACAGGCAAAAAATTGCTATCAAATGTAGGTAGGGTTATGGAATAACTGGAATGTTTAAACACTGCAGGAAGGAACATACTGTTACACTATTCACGGAGATATACTTGCACCATCCATGAAAGTGAATATAAACATATTCTGCGATCCAGTAATTTTATTCCTTGATGCACACCCTATGAAGACTCTTGCACACAATACAGCCACAAGACATGTTGAAGAATGTTGACAACTGAACTATTTGATGTAACAACAAATGTCCATCAATAGTAGAATGAATAATTAAAATGAGTTGTGGATATAACGTAACCATATACAACATGGAACAATCTCAGAAAGGCAATGTGGAGTGAAAAAAAAATCCTGCAGAATACATACAGTATGATTCCACTTGTATAAAGTTAAATATGTATGAAGCCAAATGATATACTGTTTAGAGATTCAAACCTATGTGCTGAAGCTATAGCAAAAGGCAAAGTTATGATAAACACAAAAGGAATACCCCAGAGAGTAATTAAGAGAAGATTAAGAAGGGGCACACAAGTCATGGTGATGCCAGTAATCAAATCTAGTAGTAGGTACACATGTGTACTTACATGTACACTGAATTATTATTCCTTGTGTTTTGCATGTATCTTCTAAATATCCTTCATATCTACTTAATACTTAATACAAATTAAAAAAAAAAAAAACCTACACTGTCTTCAGAGGTGGCAACAGTCAAAAGGAAGTAAGATGTCCAAATACAAACAATTGTGTATAATACTTCAAGCATATATCCATAGGTATATTGAGATTTTCTAAATTAAAAAGAAAAAGAAAGAAAGCCAGGCTACTGGAGAACAAAATTTAATTATATGCAACTGTTTATTTGAAATAGTTTTCAGTCTTCCCATGATTTCATAGGCTTTGCTTCACTTTTAGCCTCTCAAACAGCTAGAAACCAACACCTAACATTTTCTGCATTTTGACCGTTATGTATGCTATCTTAATGACATTTTCTTTATTAAGACTGGAACCAAACATGTTAACCAATAAGAGGTGTAGATTTAAATCATCTTCTTGGTAGTAACTAACGGTGCTGCTGACAGTTTGTCAGATTTATCAGATGCTGGACACTATTTCAAGCCATCTCCATCTAGCTATTTGACTTAGGAAAATCATGTTATCTCCCTACCCCTACTTTCTTTTTGTAAAATAATTAGATTAGATTATTTCTATTGTTTTATCTGGCTGCTAAAATCCTTTTAATATAACCCTCATCATTTTCAATTAACTTTACTTCACCCTTATTTGCTACTTCTCCACCTATAAAGCATAATTATCCATACTCAAGTAACCATGAATTAAAAAATACACACAAACCCAAAATACTCTTAATCATTCTAATATATTCCCATTAACAGATAAAAGGGCTTTTCACTTGAATTTTCATTTTTTATTTCTACTTCTTTATTTAAAATCAATGATAAAGTCACAACTGTAAAATGAATGAATGCATTTAAAAACACAAATGATACATTTCAATGACAAAAAATATGTAATGATAATGGAAATCTACTGTACACTTTGCTAAGGTCAACAAAATAAAAGACCATTTGAACAAATCAATCTTCAAATATGTCCTTGACAAAAACTCTCTTTTGAATAGTAAAATCATCATTTAAGAATATTTATGTTTACATAACTGAACACTAGCTCCAAAATCAACAAAGTGTGTAGAGGGCAGCCAAAGGAAGGGTGCTGGATAAAAATACATAGATACTAGATAAAAATATGTGGGTACCAGGAACTTGATATTAAGCTTCTAAAACTAACAATTTAAAATAAAATGAATATTCCTAACATGACAATTGTATAAAACTATTTTTTCCTTGATAGAAATGAGATGGGATATTCCTTTATAGTAAGAGCTTAGTAATCATCTAAAAAAAATGTGGAGATACATGTAGCCCCAAGTCACTGGTATAAAACAAATACCTTCTTCCATGAAATTATATTTCCCATTACTAAAATAGTCTAATTTACTTGGGAGAATTCATCCTTAGAATATTTCAGACACTTATTTTAATTAAATATGTAGAATTACCAGATTTGAGATTTTTGAAACCATCTGTGTCTTACTAATAGTTAAATCTTTCAAGAGATAATAATCCTTTTACTATACATCAACTGGGTTTCCTTAAATGTATTTGATCAACTACTGAAATAGTGATGCTGGTGGTAGTGATACTCTCAAATTTTTCCTTTTAAAAAATACATGATCCATGTGACACTTTCTTAACAAGGAATGACTGTTTTCAGGCCCCAGTAGGAAGGAAAGAAACCAAAAATGGCATTTACTACCTCTTTTATCACTGATAAGCTATAACAGTCAAATGATGGATAGTTTATGTGGTATTAAGAAAAAAGTGAAAATCATTATAATTTTAGCAAAAAACAAAACAAACCCCCCCACACACGAGAAGTTAAATGAGCACAACATAGGTCCCAAAGGTTAAACTTATGATTCTGAACGCAATTTTCAAAGCAAAAGGCATCTACATACAATTCCTGTGAATATCTCATACACTACAAAGATGAATTCGAAGCAAATGTAGGCTAGCTCAGTCCTACCTTGTCAAAGACAAATATTCAAATGAACTAGGAGTTCCATTTGCTAAAGTGCACCTGCTGACCAAATCTGCTCTGGTCCTGCCTCTGAGCACAACCTAAGAAAGAGGCCATTACCCACATTTACTCCCTGTTTGCACTGTCAACAGTCATACAGAACAATGGGTTTTCTTTTTTAAACCAAATACTGTATAAAGCACAGCGGATAATAGAAAAACCAAACCTAAATATACTATCTTCTAAAACTCCAGCAAGTTAAGATAACCTCATTATTTTTAAATACTGAAAATGTAAAGGGTCCACACAAATTAAGAACTGTATTAGGTATATACTTTTTATTTAATACTCACTTGATGTGCTCTTAAAATCTCTATGAGAGAAGCAGATAGTTTCCCATATCTTTTGGCAATAGATTCAAAAGCAAAAGTAGCAGTGCTGTTGAATTTCACGAAACGTTGTTTTTTTTTGTTTTTTTTTTTTTTTAAAGCTAAATTATTCAGTATCTGTATTGTTATTGCACTCATGTATTGCCCGGAATACTACAGCGACTCAGCAATAGTGATTGCAACAAAGTAAGGTCAGTGGTCTATACGGCATTTGATTTCCTGATTAGAAAAGAAAGGTTTCATAGAGGAAATGCAAACAACTGCAATTCAAAAATCAGTATATGCTTAATAATTATTTAACCTTATACAAAATTAAATGTAAGCCTCAGCACTACAAATCTGTAAGGAACCAGAAAAGGATTTACAGTACACAAATCTTGAGTATTGTTGCATTCCACTCTTGAAGTCACTCTGAGTTAAAACAGCATTTTTTTCCAAGATTTAAAGAAAAATATATTTTATAAAAGGGATTCTTTTTATTTACTGAATACATCATTTTTATTACTAAGACAAAACAAATTATACTTTTATCACTATAATTCGCACTGATGAAAGAATTCTCTTTTAACTCCTAACAAATGCTACATTTTCAAGACCAAAGGAATTATCAGTAGGCATTCTTTCTTCTTGATCTAAGTTATTTTTCTCTAAAATATGTCAAGTAAGCCTTTAAAGATTCAGGGAGGGGAAGTTTCATGATTTTTTCTCTCAGTAAATTCTGAGGTGGCTCCTCGGGCTTCATGGCTTCACTGTGATCTTTCTCTTCCTCTTCTTTATCTTCTTCCATTTTTTCATCCTCCTCACTGTCTAGAGGCTGAGGAATAAGCTGATTACCCACAAATACGTAAGTATTAATTCTCTGTTTAACCCTCTTTCTTTTTCTTTTGGGTGGAGCCCTCTGAGGAATCCCCTTGGCCTGCATCTCATCATTTATGAAATTTCTAAGTGTACGTCGAATATAAATACGAGCCAAGTCCTGTAGATTCCTGACAGCACAGGGGGCTAAAAAACAAAAACAAAACACATACACATAAAACATAAAAAAAGTAAAACATTATGTATTTGTTCATTTCTTCACATAACAAAACAAGTATTTCTTAGCAAACATTAGAAAACACAGAAAGTATAAAAACTCTGATGCCATCTAACAAAGACTTCAAGGCACTTACTAAATGCCAGGCCACTATTCTAAATTCTGTGCACAGTGGGAAAGTTTCTATGTACAGATATGTGTATATGTATATTCCCATACCTGCATAAAGATTCTTTGAAAGAATAAGTAAGAGCTTAGAAACAGGCTACATGAGAATAAAGTATTTAGGGAACAAGAATAGAAGGGAGTTTTTATACTACATATCTTTTTTATACTTTTTGATACAAAAGTGATCTATTCCACACACTCAAATAAAGGCAACATTTGAGCTGTCTCAGTCTGAGCTTTAAAGCTCTTACACACACACACACACACACACGCGCGCGCGCGCGCGCGCACACACAATTTTTCTCCGTTAATCAGCAAGTAAAACTGGTTCATTGGCAAAGAAACACCACAAATCATGCTGTAAATAATAACCCAAATAATAATAATAATAACCCAAGAACACACTGCAGATTTCCTCAATTTACTGATGTTTACTTCTACCGAACACATCACATTGGACCCTATCCTGTCGTTTCACTCCTGTCTCCCACAAATCTATAAATGCATAAGCCCTAGAACACACATTCTTCTCTGTAGCCTGTTCCAATACTTTATAAAGAAAGAAATTAATTCTCTATCCCAGTAAGTTTCCATTCCTATGGAAATGAAACCATCATTAAGGGTCCTTCTCAAATGCCTCAACAATATAAAACATAACCCTCCTCCGCTTAAACAGCATTAAAAATCTTCATTTATTTTTTATTTCATTTCTTTTGGTAGTCTTTTCTGGATACTTTACCTTGGAAACTTTTTTATTATAACCAATGAAATCCTGCCTTCTTTAGTAACTCTGGTACACAGTCTCTCCCTACCGTCAGACTATAAGCTCCAGGAGTGAGGGCCACAGCATTTCCTGTCTATGCTCCCCACAGGGCCCTGGAGGCACTAGGCTTGCACAGTACATCATCCTGTCCAAGGCTCAGAGCACTTCCTGTGTTCTGAACACCAGATCCTATCACAAATTGCATACACCCTGCAGTAGGAGATAAGTTTTTGTTTGTTTGTTTTTAAACTCCAGTTTTTCAGACTGATTCAAAGACCTCTTAGCACAGGCTTAAATGGCCAACTACAAAATCTTTTCTTCAAACTATCTTTTTTCAACTCCCTACTGAATACTGGAATAGAAAAGAATTCCAAAGAACCATACTGGATATGCCTATTGAAAACTGTTCTACTGCCTGTGCCTGCCCCCAACTGTATGAGATGGAAACTGAAACAACATATAACAATTTGAGTTCAAGTCCTGCTTCCGTCAGTGATGAAGTTTTGTGAGCACTGGTAAAAACATGTGACATACCATCCCTTATATGCTAAAATGTGTAAAATACTACCTGCTCTGCCTACCTCCTAAAACTGTTTAAGTTGTTTCACATTCACTCAATACCTAAAGGTAAATGCAAAAAGCCCTAAAAGGTAAATGAGCTTAGGATATTCAAGGAGCTGAAAGAAGGCTAGCATAGATAAAGTTCAGAGCAGGAAGAAACACTAAGAGGTATAATCATGGATGACCTTGCAGGCCTTGGTCAAAAACAAACAAACAAAAAAACAAAACAAAACAAAACACAAAAAAATGTGCCCTGTTTTGGCCATGCAGCTACTCAAGGGTTTTTAAAAAGCAGGGTCATAATGCAATGAAAATGGCACTCAGGCTCCTCTGGGAATATGGATCATAAAGAGAAGGAGCAGGAGATCAGGTGGGAACACTCCAGTAATACACCTGAGATCTGACCACACTCTGATGCAGATGGGAGTGAGGAAGATGGCAGTAAAAATGCACAGAAGTGGACAAATTTGAAACACATTTTGAAGACAGGATGGACAAGGGATTAGATGTAGGAGAATTTTAGCCCATACAAAAATGTTAATGTCAATTACTGACATGACAAAGAGGAAGAGTGTAGTTGGTGAGAAGAAAATCAAAATTTTGTTCTGTGTTAAATCTGAAATGTCTGTTACATTTCCTGAATGGAGATTTCAGGAAGAAAAACAAAAGGGACATACTAATCACCATTTTGGCATGTTATGGGCAATAATACACTTTATACTAAGTGAGAAAAAGAGGTAAAATAACTTGATACCGGTCACAGAGCTCATAAGTGACATGAGTTGGGATCTGAACATGGACATTTAACTGCAAACTCTATGCTCCTGCCCAACCACAAGCAACTGAATCATGACCTTGGGACTCAGGGGCAAGGTCAGGGCTGGGGATAGAAATCTGGGAGCCACCAGCCTCTCCCTGAGCACCCAAGAGGGAGTGTAGACAGAGAAGAATGGACTAAGTGAGCTCTGAAAAAGCAGGGGCATGAGGAAGCTGGGAGAATAAATCTATAAAAGAGTTTTAGAAATTATAAAAAAAGCTAAGAAATAGAGCTATAATTAGTCTTTTCAGCTGGTCTTTATTCTTGAACCTCTCTCACATTTTTGGTACTCTCTTTTCACACGTTAATTATGTTCCTCCTCTGCCAACATTGCTATTCCAAGGACACTGTTAGAATTATGAACCTTTCAATCCTAAACTGTCAGAATACTTAACTTCATAAAGAACCAACTAGACCCAGAATGGAAAAGGATTCAGACTTTACTTAAATCCCAAAATAGTATCCACAGGAGCTGCCTTTAAGTTTTTCTGAATGATACAATAACTTTTAGATAATTCTCAGTCCTAGTTATTCAAAAGTCCCCCATATTTTCTATGCTTTAACATTCACTTGTTTCTAATGCTTCCAGTTATGAGATAAGGATTTAATGGACTAGACAATGCTAATCCTGATTGCTATTAAAATTTTATTTTGAATTAAAGCTTTCACTTCAAAAGTATAATTAAGGTTATCTCTAACACACACACATAAGCTTTGTTTCCCAAAAGGTAGTCTCATAAAGATTTCATAGGAACCTAGCACTCAGCACTTTCATTTTTATTTATTAATAAAAATTGAAAAGGGCATTATATTTAGGTCAGACTCACAAAAGTGATGATTTGGGGCCATTTTTAACCTTCAAAAACAGCAACTTCATATAGCTCAAAGTGATTCAGTGCCACAATTTCTTAGGTCTCTTTTGTCCCTTGTGACTTATAAGAAATATACATTTGGCTTCTCATTCCTGACACAGAGCTCTGAAAACACTTGGAATTATCTAAGTGATAAGAGCATAGCAGATTCCTTCCAACCACACCTGAGTTTACATTAATGAGGCAACTTTTGGTAAGCCCCACAGGATGCTGGGCTGGTTGCCAGGGTAACAACCATGGGATTAGAGGACTGGAACTTCCACTACCCTCTGGGAGGGGAAAAGAGGCTGGACATTGAGTTCATCATAAGTGGCCAATCAAACTCTATAAAAAGCCTTAACCGAAAGGGTTCAGAGAGAGCTTCCGGGTTGATGAACACAGAAAAGTACCAAGGAGGCGGTGCACCTAGAGAAGGCATGGAAGCTCTTGTCCTTCTCATAAATCAATCAATTCCAACTGGTTATTTGTGTGTTGGATCCTTTGATAATAAAAACCTGATAATCTAGTAAGTAACCTGTTTTCCTGGGTTCTGTAAGCCACTCCAACAAATTTCTGATTTACAACCAGGCAATCAGAAACACAAGTGAAAACTCATACTTGTGATTGACTGGTGTCTCAAGCTGGAGGAGGAGTGGGCAGCCTTGTGAGGTAGAGCCCTTTAAGCCTTCAAGGTCTATGCTAATACCAGCTAGTGTCAGAATGGGGTTAGATCACAGGACACCTAGTTGGTGTCCACAAAGAACTGTAGAATTGCTTGGTGTGGAAAAACCCACACATCTGGAATAAAGAAAGATGTACCTAGTGGGTGGTGTATAGAGAAAACCGTTTTTCTTTAGTTGGTAGAGAGTTTTTTCTTCTTTCCTTTCACCCTTTCTAAAGGGCCGGCCCTGAACTTAAAGCAGTTTTATATATACATATATATATATATAATGTTGTATACTCCTCCAAAAACAAATAGTACTTTAAGGTGAATCAAAAGCAGTGATAAATAAACTTCAGGAAAAGTTCTAACTACATTTTAGTAACTATTTATATGGGCAATTTCACAGCTACAAAATACATTTGGCAAAAGATTTGCACGTGTATGTTTTTAGTTTTTTTGCTAACATTCTTTATTTTAATCCCCTATAATTAATGAAATAATGTTTCTAAACAGAAAGCAATTTTAAGCAAGAAAAGGAAACATTCTTATTTTCCAAACATCCTATTAAATTTTGACAAATAATATTTTCAGAACATTTTTCATTCTGTGAACATTATTCATAGTGAAGCCTTTATTCTTTATCAAATCATAATTCCCGACTTATTTTTATAAATTGCTATTGGGAGTTGATAATTTTTTTATTATAGAAACTTTCAAGTATACACAAGAGAGTTAATAATGTAATGAGCCCCATGTAGCAGACACTCAGCTTCAACAACTATCCCTTCTAGCTCATCTTCCTTCATCAACACTGCCATTTCCTCTTCCCATCCCTACCACATTATTCTGATGAAACTTCAGACAGGTCATTTAAATACTTCAGAGGCATGATAGATACTTGTTTCTTAATTTAGGTCTGTCTTCCATTCTATGCCTTTTAACCAATTTAACCCTACTTTACATTCATAACCATGTCAATCAACCCAACCAACAACAGTCTTATTAACTACCTAAATCTGTTTATATTGACATCCTTAAAATGAGAAAGAACAAAATTGCCTATTATCATCCATGCCATTCATAACTATGTCATGTAAAATCACACTTATAAAATACAGTTTTCTAAAGGACACTAAACTAGGAAAACTGTCATAATGAGGAATGCTCAGACTGCAACAGTGTCTGTTAGACAGTAACACACCAGTAAATGGCTGATGCACAGAAATGTACAGGGGCTTCTGTAAGGACACTTCTATATCCTTACAGAAACACATCATGCTTATGGTTAAGGTGGGCCATTGTCAAGACCAAACTGTGTTACGATTGTTTTCATTACCTCTCTTTATGTGACTCTCTAATCAGTTATGATAGGTTAAAGAAAACTGTCATAAATAACCTGTAATTCTAATGTCTGGAAAACAGGAAGGAGTAAATAGTTTTGTTATTATTATGCTCTTTGCAAGGAGTTTAAGTATTTGATAACAACAGTATGACGTAGTCTACTGTATAGTATAGCCCATACTATATGGTAACTACATACATGTATATATATATACATACATATATATATATATATATACAGGTATGTGTGTGTACAGTCTAACAAAAAGTATACTTTATTGAAATAATTATATCATGCATATGAATACAAGTGACAGTCACTTGATTTTGGCGCTAAAAAGAAGTTCCTTTTAGTTCCATAGCACATACAATCACATGTCTCTTTCTGAACAGACAGGAAGGAAGTTTAAATTTAAGATTCTAGCAGAGTAACTTTACCTTTCCAATAGAATCAATCTTTTTGATAATCCTTTGGTTGTTTTAATCATTCTTATTTTTAATTTTTCATATACTCCAGTTTCCTTTCATAAGGAAGTTTTGTTTTGTTTTTTAAAAATTTTATTTATTTATTCACAGGAGACAAGAGAGACAGAAACAGAGACACAGGCAGAGGGAGAAGCAGGCTCCCCATGCAGGGAACCCGATGTGGGACTCGATCCCAGGACTCCAGGATCACACCCTGAGTTGGAACGCAGACGCTCAACCGCTGAGCCACCCAGGCGTCCCTATAAGGAAGTTTTAAGTGGTTTTGTTATGTCATTTTTGTAAGCAGCATATAGTAGCAACAAGTATGTTTGGAAAAAATGGCTGATTAACACTTTCTGAATTGTGAAAGGCTCCAAAGTTTTTTAGAACTGAAGGCCTGATTTCTTTCTAAATGAGATAAAAATTAAGAGCACCGTGTCAGAATTTATGAATCTTATGAAAATGAAGAGAGTGGTCAATAAGTCTCCTTTGATGGCAGCTCCTGTTAGAGAAGAATGCTAGTAAGCCCTGTCCTGGGCTTCTGGGGAAGAGATCTCCCTGTCACTGACATTTGCTGCAGAGCTACCTGGGTCTCTCTGCATCACCACACACCTTCTTCCCCAAGACAGGAGGAGTGGCCTATACAGTTTGTGTGTAAGAAACAGCAGGTCATATATGGCTCCATCCTTTCCTTTCTCTTTTCCTCTGTTTACAAGCATACTCATTAAGCTCTGCTCACCTGTATTGACAGAGTAAGCCTACACGATGGGAGGTTGCCCAGCACTGCCTTAGCAAGGTGGATAGTCAGACTACAACGTCTATTAGAAAGTAACACATCAGTAAATAGGTGGTGCACAGAAATGTACAGGGGCTTCTGTAAGGGCACTTCAATACCCTTACAGATACACATTATGCTACGGTTAAGTCAGGCCACTGTCAAGACCAAACTATGTGACAGAACTGTTTTTATTACTTCTCTTTATGACTCTCTCACCAGTTATGATAAAGAAAACAGTCAAAAATAACCTGTAATTCTGACATTAAGAAAACAGGAAGGAGAAAAGAATCTACATGCAGACCTTAGCCATATTCCCCCATCTACTTTAGTAGGTGATAAAAGTGACATTTCAATTCCTAGCTATCTACCCACCAAGTCCATCTCTCCATTGGTAAGAATCTGAACAGGGACAAACAGACCACAAAAATCACAAAGCTCAAAAGAAGATAAAATGAAATGAAAATAAAATTTAAAAATTAAGTATAAAGCCAGGTTCCCTGAAATAGATTCATTTTTTAAAAAAAGACTATTTATTTATTTATTTATTTATTTATTTATTTATTTATTTATTTATTTATGAGAGAGAGAGAGAGAGAGAGAGAGAGAGAGAGATATCACAGGCATGGGGGAGAGGGAGAAGCAGACTCCCCCACTGAGCAGGGAGCCCGATGAGGGACTTGACACCAGAACCCTGAAATCATGACCTGAGCCGAAGGCAGACACTCAACCATATGAGCCCCTAAAATAGATTCATTTAAAAAGCAAATTAAAGGAAGAAGTCTACCATGGTAAAGTTCATTTTTGGTACAGAACTTTACTTACTGATTTCCAAAATCATAAGCCACAAACCAATTGAAGCTACTGTCATCTCTTTGTCTTTCAACTGCAGTAAGTTGATCACTCCCTTTCTTGAAATAGTTTTTTTTTTCTTGGTTTCCAACACAAACACCTCTCTCCTCACTCTTCCCACTCCTATAGCTTAAAATGTCTTTTTTCACTGATGATTTTTAATTTATATCTCCCTCATGCAGTAGGTTTGTATCTACTTGACTACCTGACACATGCATGCCAACAGAGAACTTAAACGTGGCCAGAATAAAGTATGTGATCCTCCTACACCTATTTCCAAACTATTCCATTGCCAGTCTTGCAAACAATGGTACCACCAAATAAATGGTACTACCACTCAACTACCTATTCAAGGTAAAACTTTACATCCTCCTTTTTTCTTTACCACCATCTTCCATGAAGTCTACTATTTTTCTCCTGTCAAACAACTCTGTCCACACCAACACTGATTTTCCCTTTAAGTCTTGTATAATCTATCTTCTACACTCTAGCCAATGACTTTCAACTACCCTGAAATTTATTTGTGGCCTTGGAACAACTAAGTTCCTTGCAGCCCAAATAAAGGCTTTTGTGTTTGCTGTCCTACTGTACAGAAAATGCCAACAAATTTAATATAATAAATTCACAACTATAATTAATAAATTCATGTTTTCTTTGACCTGCCCCTTCTTTTCATATGTCCATGAAGGCAGCTAACAGCATCTGGTACAAGGTAGAAGGAGCTCTAACCCACCTCCATAAAAAAGTTGAAGAAATTTATTGAATATATTACTGCCTACATATTTACTTCTTCATAATTATATAGTCCATTAAATCTCAAGCATAAGAGTTGAACAATCTAAGCCACATTTCAATCAGAAAGGACCAAGAGTTACTTACGGAGTCCTACAGAATCTGGTTTGCCATTATCATTCTTACTTGGTTGTACAAGTGGAGCAAATGAAACAGCAAGGATGTTTTTACTTTCCCAAGTGTTTTGTCCAGTTCGCATAATTTGTGTTAACTATTTAAAGGGAAAAACAGAAATAGAATAGCTTAGTCCTAGAAATGTGATCATCTTATAGTCACAATTTTGCTTTAACAAAATAAATGCCAATGGTTGCTATAGTCCCTTCTATTTGAATGCAATCAAATTACTTTCATTTAAATACTTACCATAAAATAATAAGGAATGACAAATATTTGCAGCTCTAGAAAGATAAGTCCATGTAAGTAGATCCAAATATGGTCTAGTGACTCATAATATTATATTTGGGCTCTGACAGCTTCTGGGGGTCTTATTTCAATCCACACCTGCCAGTGACTCCCAAAATATATGTCTTACCATAGGTTCAGTTGTTTGGTTAAAGCGTTATATTAATAAAACCATGTTCTGATTACTGTACGAAAGAGTCAATTTCTTGGTCTTCCATGATGGTAAAAAAGGCAGATTCTAATTCTAATCTCAACTTAGTATTTCAAAAATAGATTTAATTAATCACAAGAGGATTAGAAGTTTACCCACTTGGCAAAAATCCATCCCCAGTCCTTGGAAAAAAAATATTAGCTCAGTACATGGCTTGATCAAGTTGAATTAATACTTTCAATTTCTACCATAAAAGTCAGTGCATTATATTTCACATCAGTATAACAGTATATAATTAATATTTAATAAAATACCAATGGGAAGCTATATCTTAAATGTTTGAAGATATATCTTTAACAGAAAACAGAAGATTGTTCATCTGGGAGTCTCAACTCCAGAAGCATTTGAGTAACTTTTTTCCAGGAGTGTTTTTTAATGAATGTTTTATATTATGTCTCTTTAATAACGGACAATTTGCCACAGAGCACAGTACAAGGTAATGGCAAAAATCTACTTAACTGAAAATAACATGCTGTGATGTTAAGGGACTCCCTAAGATTATAAACTCCAAAATGATCAGGCAAGGTCCCAGTCGTCTTACACAATTTATCTTCTACTGTATAAACCACAAAGCATTTTAAACATCTCAAACTTAGGTTAAAATAAGTATTACAGATTTTTTTTTGAAATGCATTTTTGTACTTTTTTGCATTTTTGTACATTTTTAAAGTAATTTCCTTTTGAAAGTTCCACCCATTTTTTAATACATCAGTATTTTCATGCATTTATTATACTTAGTAATTCTCAACCGAAGGCAAGCAAATATTTTCAAGTGAGTCGATGTAGTACTAAATGAAGAATTAAAAATTTACTTGTCTCTTCAATGGATTTAAGCAGTCCAAATCAAATCCCAAATAGATTTTCTTTTTCTCATGTTCAAAGAACTAAAAAAATGTTTGAAACTGAGCAGCTAGTAGAGATTATTACATCCAACTGAAACAAGCTCCAGGTAAAGAAACTGTAGGAAGAAACGACTTGGCTGGCAAACACCCTGTAGGTGGTAGCTAAGCTCTTGGTGAAAGACCAAATCTCTTCAAATCCTAGTATAAAGAATTTCTTCTATATCTGCTTTGGTTCAGTAATTAAGACTCCATTTCAAGTTTTGATCTATGGTGGGTACTTCTCTAAAAATTAAACCTACTTTTCACTGATTCCATTTCCCACCTTAAACTACTGTGTTTAAGCAAAGGACAGTAAAGTTACCTGATCTTCTATAGGCATGACTAGAATGCCTCCAACTTTCAGTAATATTTTCATGTAGTTTTCATGGTCTTTCTGGACACCAGCCCCACAATAAATTCGATCATACTGATGACTGTCAGATGCTATCTGGAGGCAATTACCCACCACAAATGCAGGTTCACAGAACTCAAATCTGCATGAAAAAACAAATATATTTTAATTCATTTAAATAAAATATTAAATCTAAAAAAATTAACATAATTCAGTTTTTTGTAACAGTGAAGTTACCAAAATTAATTTTAGGATAAATATCATTACAAAATTTGATTTAAATATCATATTTATGAAGGTTAACTGATCAAATATAGTGTTTTATCATCAATGATAGAGTGCACATGTTTACAAAACATTAACCTATTTTTTGCCAAACTGAAACCTCATTTAGAGCTTAAAAAAATGAATATAATGAAAAGCCCTTCATGATACCCATCTTATGATGCCCCACAAATGACATATACTAAGGATGAGAATCACAAGGGTCAAACAAACAAGATTCACCTTCCACTGCCCTTTCCAAAAAAAAAAAAAAGCTGACAGGCCAGTGTCAATGGGAAGGGCTCATGCAGTATTCATCTCTGTTTGATATTTTTGCTATGGCTAATAGTGGAAAGTTTTGTCAGGAAAAGACATCAATGTCCTGACCACATACCTTAGCAACCACTAAGATTAGGGAGATTTTCCTTACAGATTTTAGCAGAGCTATGTTACAGGATTGTTATAGGATGTTACTGCTGCTTTGTGATCTCCCTATGCAACAAAAGGAGATACTGTTTTCAAAGCAAAGGCATTTTATGCATTTTATCCAGGCCACCTGTTCCTGGTTACAGTGTTGGTTCATGGTATATAGAGTTATGCTTTTACAAACTAACCTATTTAGACTTCTACTTTATTCCTTAAATTTTAACAAATTGGAAAATAGTTACTAACATGTAACATTAATTAAAATCCCAATGCACTAATAAAACATGTAATCTTTTAAAAAACTAACTCATGGAATATCCTTTTACTTTTAAGTTGATTAAAGTTAATATGACCACACAGCAAAATCAGGCTATTATTTGAGAATGAAATAATTTATATTAAAAGTTTCGGCATGCAGTGAAAAATGACACTGATTGAATCATAATCATCTCTGCTTTATAAAACATATCCTGCCCTTTAGTAATTAATAGACTTATTACATAACAAGTTTCCATTAAAATTCACTAAAACACAGACACATTATCTTCATTAATATTTAAAGAAGAATTTACCAGAATTATGCCGTTTTCAGTATCCTGTCTTCTAAGTGGAAGGGTCAAGGGAAGGGTGGGAAGGATTGAGGGGTTAGGGTGGGGTGAGTAATCTGTGCATACTCTCTTTTCCACACCCACATACTAGGGTAAGTCCATGCCTCATTTTTCCCTTCACTGCAACTGCCTCCCTGCTAGTCACATTTTTCAAGTCCCTTCCATGGTTTTGTTCCCTACTGTATAGGATAGGGTGAAGTTTCCTTATAGTACCACATGGGGCTTTTTATGACCCTACCATCAAACTGTCCTGCCAGATTCATTTCCTGGCTCTGCCTCCCCTGCATCCCCCCTTCTTCCTGCCAAACTATGCTGCAGCCAGACTGACTTACAGTTGACCCTTGAACAAGGCAGACGTTAGGGGTGCAGACCTCCTCCCTCAAACATCCAAGTATAACTTGTGACTCCCCAAAAACTTAACTACTAATAACCTACTGTTGACCAGAAGCCTTACTAACATGAACAGTTGACTAATAGATATTTAGTATGTTACATGTATTATATACTATATTCTTACAATAGAGCTAAAGAAAATATTAAGAAAATAAGGAAGAAGAAAAAAACATATTTATAGTACTGTGCAATAAAAAAAAAATCTGCATTTAAGCCATCCTGCACAGTTTAAAACTATGTTGTTCAAGGGTCAACTGTGTGCTTCTAGTTGCTTAGTGAAGTATTATAAAATGTTTTGAAACTCTCTATCTGTGTATATATGCTGTTCCTTTGACTAAAATTCTTCCCATGATAAATGCCTCCTATCCCTTCAAGATACAGTTCAAATACCAGTTTTAGTAATGAAATCTTATCCAACTCTGTTTTAACAGTATCTCATTCTTGCTACTTGCATAGTACACAGGAAAAGTATAAACTTACCTAGGTTAGGGACCATGCTTAAATTCCTTTTAAACTCAAGATTATGGTACAACCTATGATTGTCTAAAATATGGCCAAAGTATAATTTCTTGACTTTCAACTAATCAGATAATGCAGATCATGTGGTTTAATCACTTCACCAAACTCACAATAAGCTTTCTTTAAAATGAAAAAGACTATTTTCATATTTTCAAGGAAGTCTATCTAAAAATATTTATTCTTATAAAAATTCAACTTAAATAATTTAATTTTATAATAATTTAAGTCAGTCTTATTTTCAGGATGAATATGAGCAGGGAATTTATTTTTAAAAATTAAATTATTAAAACTTATTTTATCAAGTCTGTTAAATCAACTCAAAAATATGCTTATGGTTTTAAAATCTGTCTACTTGTTAAAAATACATGATAGTTTACAGAAGTATGATCTAGGACAACACCATTCCAAGTAAACACCTTACAATTAAAACCACTTCTCAGATTAATAATATTTTATACATCCTTATCACAGCAAAATTAATTAGAAAGAATTTGGTGCCTGATTTTAAAATCAAATGTGTGATCCTGGTCAAATTTCCTTATACTACAAATGAGCACAATCCATTAAGTGAAATATTATTTACTGAGCACCAGTTGTGTGTAAAGATTGAAAATACACTGGGAAACAATCATGCCTACAGTTAGTGAAAGAGATAGATGAGCATCAGAGAATCTCAGGAATAAAGATTTAAACTATGATAAATGCTCTGAAGGAAGAGAATAGGATTCCTTAAGACTGAAAGTGTAAAGAAATGGACAGAGCTAGGGAATCAGAGAAAGCTTCCTTAAGAAACAACAAGTTGTGATCTGAAAGATGAGACAGGGTAATCTAGAGCCGAGATGGTAGTCACTAGCCACATGTGGATATTGAGGCTTTAAAATGCAGCTAGTCCAAATTGAAATGCACTATAAGGATAAAATTCACATGGGATTTCAAAGATTTAGTCCAAAATAAATATAAAATAGCTCAATATTTCTTTTATACTTATGTGTGTAGCGGTGAATATGCGCGTGTATGTATGTGTATATGTATTTCAGCCACATAAACTGAAGATGCTAAATACCCTTCTACTATCACCAGTAACTAGAAGCTTCAAATACTTTCTCCTTAACACAATCTTCCCTTTGAAATATTCTCCTGGTTTTCCTGCTATTTACGTGAATATTTCTTCTGAATTTTAGATGTATCTCCATTACCTATTATAGTCCTCAAAATATATTTACTGAGTGAACCATATAAAAAACAAATGTTTTGTCAATTTTTCCACCTATCAACTTAGAACATGAACCCAAAATAAAATCTCAGGACTAGCAGAGAGACTTGCCCAGAAAGTTACAGGAAAAATATGTGCCTATGACACTTTCTGTATCAATATGATGGTTCTTGTTTTATTAGTCACTATAGAAGCTGTAACTTGACACTACAGAATACAGTTTTCTCAAAATGCAAAAAAAAAAAAAAAAAAAAAAAAAAACCACACACAAAAAAACACAAAAACCCTCAAATAATTCCTCAAATAATTAAAAAAAAATCCTTGCCTTTAATGAGTCAGTTAACTGTCCTATAACTGAAAGGCACTTTTTTGGGCCCTCCTGAAGACCTTAAATAAGCCACCATAACTTTAGGAAACAATTTAATGCTTTCTTTCCCCAGTAATGCAGATCAAAACAAGTATATTTGCTTCCATTTAGGTAGAATTACAAAAGATAATTACACTGAAAATCAAATCTCTAAATCTATAAATTTCTACTAATGCAAATGGAACATATATTTCTAACAAATACATATGGGATCCTAACACTTTCATTTAACAGTCAAATTAACTTTCTTTGAAAGAATATTCAAATCTGAAAATTTAATCAAACTTGAGATGTTCCTAAGGACTGGACTATTTCTAGATACAAAATAGTAAAAAAAACTTCAAGGACATAAATAAAATTGGAGAACACTGTAATATTTTTAAATGTTGGCACTAAAACACCTAGAATATATTATAAAATTCATATGCCAAAGACATCACAAAAAATTTGTAACACTACCAATTTAGTAGTTATTAAGGAAAACATCTACCATAGATAGTGTTCCATCTGGGGGTTCTTTATTGTAACTATGGCTTGGTCTTTTTTTACCAGTAATACATGAATCCTTCACATTAGTAAAGAACACAAAACAATGTGCAAATTGCATACCATTTTATATATATATGTATACACACACACACACACACACACGCATACATACATACATACAAATAAATGGGTAATGGATTATCTTTCCTAATAAAGGACTTAGAGATGAGCTTAAATATTTTTAACTAGGTACATAGTTGAGGATCTTAGACATTTTGTATTCTAATATTAAAACTATGGTTTATTTTTTATTAACAGCATTTCACAAAAGTATACCAATTCCACAGCTAATAATACTTTTTGATAAAGTCTATGATTAAAAATGTTTAGGCCTATGTTTTATGGATATGCTCCTACCCATGTCAGATCACGCTCATGCTGATATTTGCAAAGAACTAAACAACTGACTGGAGATATGGATGAGGGCTACCGTGTTATCAAGAGTAAATTACAACTCCTACTCAGACTTCCACTGTAGACAGAAAAATAAAGAAAACGTTTTCTTCCATAAGCTTTCACTATCTTCTGAAAGCTGCATCTCACCTAGGTTTCCACAAACCTCTATAGAGGCAAAGGACATATTTTTAAACCACAAATACAAGTTGGATATAATCTGGAAGACTTTAGCAATAAACTAATCAGAAGTTTTCACTTTATTACAAAATAGTACTACACTATTTATAGATCTATATATAAAAAATCTAGGTTAAAAATAGTAAAAAAGAAAATCCAAATTTCATTTTTTTTCACATTGACCACAAACCTGAGGGGGAGAGGAAAAGCAAGAGGTGTACCAAAATGGC